CCGTTCAAGGGAAAGAATGTAAACAAAATAACGTTCGCAAAAAGGAACTGAGTGGTCTTTTGTGTGGGAACAGCACCAGTCTATGCACAATGACAAGGCCATCCAAACTATGTACAATGACCATCATAAGAAATATTTTATTTTTAGTGCACCTAAACGCCGCATGGGTAGAAACACCATACCCACTGAAAATTTAAGTTTTAAACACGTAAACGGCGCGGCGTTTCTTCTGGAAATTACGGTAACTTTAAATAATAATTACTTAATATCTGAAAATTCAGCTATTATTTCTTAAATTGAAATAATGCAAAAATACTTACATGCAGGGGGGACACCAGTTTCCCTAATCATTAAATAAAACTTTATGCAGATCACTTATCATTGACTGCGAAACATGAATTAATGTAATTCTGCACTGAAGAATTGTGTTAAGAACATCGAATGATGGCAAAATGGAGCATACAAAAAAAGAGAAAAGCTTTGTTAAAGGTCCAAAGATAAAAACGTAAATATTTGTTCTTCACAAGATAAACTTACAATAATCGGAAAATAAGTTCCTTGTTATGAGCTTTTTTTTTTTTTTTTTTTTTTTAAATTTTATTTTAGGAAAGCTTTGCTTATATTTTGTAGTATTATTTTGAGAATTGCCAACTAAATTGCTCACAGGAAATTACTTAATTTTTCTCACACTTATTTTGAAAGTGGAAGTAATAACTACATCTCCATTTATTTAAGGTATTTTATAACTTTCAACATAACCTTTTATCTTAACTCTAGAAGCACTTACTTCTTTCTTTAAAAATGTTAAGAAGTGGGTTCTACTGGTCAAGGATTATACATAAACATTTCTCTAAAGATAACCAGTGCGTGCATATATTTCAGATTTTTTCTTATTTCAGTATTATGCAGCTGTTGGAATTGTTTCAATTTTTACTTCCTCTTATCAATCTTTCCAAGATAATAACATATATCAACAATGCATTCATCTATACTTTTTTGGCAAAGAAGCTGACTCTTTTTCAACTGCTGACAGGCACATTTTATAATTTGCAAGTATGAATTTTCTTCTTATAAGATGCTTGCAACATCAGCCTTCAGTCCTATAATTCCCAGTGCATTGTCTGCATTCAGTGCTAAGCATTTATCATGAAGAATTGCCCTTCTTTTGAATTTTTAATAATTAGCTGCGTTTAAAGCCTGTCAAATCTCCTAAAGTGGGGATAGGAAGTAAACTACATTCAGTTTCTGAAGACTCTGGATTAAAAACAAGAAAGAAAGAAGAAAAAAAGAAACAATTACTAGAAACTGTTTTGCATCAGTATTACTGCTTCCATTCATAGAGAAGCAGAATGGAACTGTTTTAATGTAATCAATAACTGAAGATTTATTTTTCTTACCAATTTTTTCTTAGGGATTTTCCAGCCAGGAAACATTTTTCTAAAAAGGCTGCAGCAGGATCCGATGAATTCAGTGGCAGGTTAGGCTACAGTAAAAGGCAAAGAACAGGCATTCTGCCCTGCATTAATAACTTTGTTGGTCCTTTGTTTCCAAAGAAAAAAAAAATTTTTTTCATGTCTTTTCCAATATAACTTTTTACTGTGTGAAATCGAAGAATCGCAATGATAAGGGGTGTACATTGCAAATGTATTTTGTTTCCTTGATGAAATAATAGAAGGAAAGTCAACTATGTACGAATTTTGAAATATGAATGAGTATTTTTTCTTTTTCGCAGACACTACTACTACAAAAGATAGTCATTTCTTAAACTATTTCTTGAAAGCTAGTGACACAGCTCTCAGCAGAGAGACAAATGGAAAAATAATCTCGATCTCGCTTTGAGCTCTTTATTTAATATATGCCAGATGACATGCACTGGTGCTTGATGCTGACTGAATAACAAGAATACTATGTTTTTGGATACATATGCTCTCATTCACAAAGCAGAAGCATGCCATAATACCTCACTGACAAAACAGTTTTGGTTTTCTTTTACAGTACACTCCCGATTATCCGCTTAATTGAGTGGCGTGGCAGTCGCGGATAATCAGAAAAAAGCTAAAACGGGTATAGCAAAAGTGAAAACAGTTAATTCCAACTTTTAAAAACCATTTTATGTACAATAAAATATAAAATAAACAGCAGGAAATCTTTAACTAACGCTTAATATTTTAGTATATCACTCAAAACTAACCTAAAATGCATTTTGTTAATGAAAACAGAAAAGTGCTTTGTATACTTATGAGAGGCGTCAAGGATATTGCATTTTTCGTAGCATAAGTTTCTCGGCCAACTTTGCATCGTCTTGTTCTTCCAAATAGCTCAGCAGTCCGTCGGCTTGTTGCAAAGCCCCTTTGTGAGTCTTCTGCATCTGCACAGTGGGCTCTTCTTCGCCTTCACTTCGCTGTCCTTCATTCTCGGTCTTTCCCCTTGCTTTCTTCACAATTTCGTCATCTGTCAAGCATTCAAAGCCAGGTTCATTGACGTCACACTCCAACAACTCGTTAATGTTTTCAGCATCGACGTTCTCACCAACCGGAACTGTTTTCACCATATCGGCAAGAGTTGCTGTGGATGTGTCTACATTTTCATTCCCTTCTTCACAACTCAAAGGGGTTAAGTTGTTGTTGGCTTCAACATTAGGTATCAGTTTTCTCCACGATTTTATGAGAGTTGACGGTTTCACTGAGTCCCATGCAGATGCAATATCGTAGATACTGTCCAAGATTGTGTTATGTTTCCAAAACTCTTTCAGATCATAACCTTCTTCAATTTTGGTCATTAGCAGCTTGGTTCGGTATGTTCTCTTCATTGTTGCAATGACTCCTTGGTCCATGGGTTGGATCTAGCGCAGTAACGTTTTGGAGGGGGGAAGAAACTTTGCAAAAATTTGTCCATCAGAAGACTTAAGCACGCTTGTTGCTGGGTGAGAAGGTGCGTTGTCGATCAATAGCACAGCTTTTTCAGGCAGGTTTTCATTTAAGATGTTTATGCACTTGAAGAACAAAGATTTTTTCGAACCATTCTTGAAAAATGTTTCGGTTCATCCATCCTTTTTTTTGGTTAAAGTAACGGGCAAATTTTCTATCCTTGTGCCTTTGAAAGATCTCGTTTCTTTTTTTTTTTTTTTTTTTTTTTTTTTTTTTTTTTTTTTTTTTTGGACTTTCCAATGACAACAAGTCTAAGTTTGTGTCCACCGGTAGCGTTACTGCAAGACATGATAGTGATCCTTTCCTTGCTGCTTTTATGACCCGCCACTTTACTTTCACTTTCAAATAAAGTGCGAGTGGGAAGACATTTCCACAAAAGTCGATTTGTCGGCATTGTAAATTTGTTCAAAAGATAGCTCTTCTTTTAAAACAAATCTTCAAATCATGGTGGAAATTTGTGCTTGTTGGTCACCACTAAGTTTCTCCACATGAAGTCCAATTTCTTGAGTTCCATGTCGCTGCTTAAAACGAGTCAACCAGCCAGAAGACGCATTAAAATTTCCTTTCAGGCCTAACAACTCAAAAAAGGTTTTTGCCTTCGCCGCAATGATAGGACCATTTACAGGAGTACCCTCTTTTCGAACTTGAGCTAACCACTCTGTCAATGCCATGTCTAGCTCATCAAAGGTACCCTTCATATTTTTTTGCGTTTTCATTGCGGAAGCCCTGTCCCACATTGATGCAAAGTTCACCAGTTTGTCTTTTTGCTTTAGAATGTTACGCACTGTTGTTTCCGATATTCTGTAATCCAATTCCATCTGCTGCCTTGTAGCACCGTTTACTACTTTGGAAATTAATTCTAGTTTTTGCGCAATTGTTAACACAACCTTCTTTCGTTTTCTTGACATTTTAAATTGGTAATGAAAAACACAAAACCAAAAAGCACAAGCACTGAACACAATAAAAGATAAGAAATTAACTCTGACCGGTTCGCAAACACTATCAGGCTTAAACTAACAATGAGGAGTGGGAGGAAGTGGACGTGTCAGTAAGACGAGAGCGGGCGGTGGAGCGGACACTGCAAGGGTGAGTAAGAAATCACTTACTCAACAGAGGGGAAGGTTCCGAGAAGGCCTGGGATATTTTTGCCATAAATAAGCACAATGTTAGCAAATTGAACGTTTCGCTCAGTTTAGTGAACATTTTTATTTTCTTTGCTTGTTAAAAAAAACGAAAGAAAGAAAAGAAAAAAAAAAAAAAAAAAAAAAAAAAGAAAGAAAGAAACTTTGTGTGGCAGTCTACTGTATATATAACCTTTAAAAATAAACAAAGCGCTTTCTTAAAAATCACTTTTTGGGTGCAAATATATATTAAGCGAAGCAGCATAAAATCATGAGGAATTTTACACATAAGAAAAAGTTAGGTGAAATAGTTGTAAATCGGGTTTGCGGGAGTATGGTCTGAGATCAGGAGTCTCCACCTAAATCAAAAGAATCGGAAACTCTGCAGTCATAACACAATCAGCTAGTTTTTGAAAAGAAGGATATATGTTAATTGCCATTTTTCTTTCCCTTAAGAAACATTAAAATTTAAAACGTTTTTGGTCAGCAAGCAGTACGTATTTCTAAAATTATGAGACTAGCTTTACTGGTATACATATTCAAATTAATGAAAGACAGACAGTTTAGTAAAATGGTGCATTCGAAGGCATATAAAATTTGTATTTAAATGAAATGGTGTGGCACTAAATGCCATTAGAAAAAATTTGACCATTAAAATGATTGGCACTAGTTTTAATGAAAATGTCCGCCATATTATCTCAAAGCTTGAGCTTTATTGCTTTATTCATTTATTTATTTTGTGTTAATTGCAATCTTGATTACTATGCTATATCTGTAACTTGTATGTGTTGATTGCCTCTTCAAATGAAGCTTGATAGAAATTTCAAACTTATGCTAGAAAATGATTGGCACATGTTCCGTGTGAGCTTTTCCAACTTTTATAGTCTATGGGAAAATAGATAAGCACTAAAAACTGCAAATTTATATGTATATATATATAAATAATATATACCTTGAGCTTCAACTGTTTCTGGATCAACAGTTTCCCATTTAGAAGGTTTAAATTTAGAAGATATATCTTTAGTTTCTTTTGGAGGTGGTATATCTTCCATTGGTTGACCATCCAAATCATCATTCACTGAAAAACGATAAAGTAATTTCCAGATGTATTTTTAATAGATGTTTTTACAAAAAATTATTATAACACATATGCTGAAATTGAATACAGCTGATTTTTCTAAATAGAAAACACTCAAACGTTTTGTTTTTCTCTTCATCTTTATAATCATTCAACAATTGCATCAGCTCTTTAAAAATTTATACAATTATAAATCACAGGCATTTCTTAAAGCATTAATACATTTCCTCATTACTTTACAAAATGCATCATTATCATGAACATTGCTTTGCATTGCTAAAAAATTTGAACTGTGACCAAATGCAGTTTCTCCTCTAAAAAATTAGAAAGTTTTGAGTGCATAGCAGTAAATATGCAGAAAAATTAACATATTTGCAAAAATTAATTAGTTTTATTGTGATCCTACAAATTTACTGCTATGCTGTAATCTCAGAGATTAATCAGAACCTTCATAGACCTCCAAATTCTTTCCCTTTATGCCATTTCTTACTGCTTATCATTTGTTACATTAAAGTTAACACTTACTTGTGCAATTAAATTTTCAATCCTAATAAAATTCAATATCAGAAAGAAAACTGAATTATAATGTGCAAATCCCAAGTTAAACAAAAATTGCTAAGTACAAAAAGCATGAATAGAAAACTGCAGGAATGGTTAATATTTTTAATTACATGCTTTGACTGCTTTTTGAATATATGATCAAGATGCAAATTTCCTATAATCCATTTCATTCAATTGTTTTAAAAATGTTAGATGACAAATAAATTTAGCAATGCTATTTTCACAGAATTTTGTAATAAACCTGCTCTTCATTTATTCCTGCATTTTTTACGAATTAAATAATAAAGTAAGAACTATTACTAATTTATTGAATAACCTGCTAGTAAATCTTAGGCTTAGTGATTTAAACCTAAATTTTACACTTAGAATAAGGGAGAAAAAACATACATGGTACACCATCAATATCCTCTCTGTCTTCTGCTAATGGTCCTTCAAGAGGAACACCATCAATATCATCCGTGGATAAAGGAATGCCATCGATATCATCTGCTGTTTGTAGTTCTGAATCAGCACTTTGAGCTTGAATGGCATGTGATGAGTTGCTATCATCATTTAAATCCCGGGACTATAAAATGGAAATGTGAGAAATAAGTATTCATGTCTGCATTAAATGCTAAATATCATTCCTGCTATGATTATTTCAGCATTTCTCATGAACAAAAAGATAAACTATGTAACACTTAATTTACAGAAAATCATAACTACTTACAAAAAGGGGACGATAATCAGAGAGGATCATTATAAAACATACTTAAAAAAAGCCCTCCATTTTCAAATACAACACGTTATGATGAACTGAATTCCTTTTATTTTACGTAAGATTTTTAAAATTTATCCCCCCACCACCTCCACTTCAACAGTTGAAGTATAAATTTTTTTATCAAAAATGATTTCAACCCTCAAAGATATTCAAAAGTGATAAAAATTACTCTAGTACAGCATTACTTAAAAATAAGCACATAGTTTATGAATCAGTATACAATGTAATTAAGTGCACTTTCATCAACAGGTAAATAAAGGATTTATATGTTACTGCTAAAGTGCAGAAATTAGTTATTAGACAGATTATGTAGGTCAGGGATGGCCAACCCATGGCACGACATAGTTTTAACAGTGGCATGCGAAGACTTATTGAAAAATTAAAAGATTCAAAAAAATAATATCATCATCTGTATCAACTCCGATGACACATACACACATAATCAAATTAGAATAAATATGATTCAGTTTCTCTAAAAAAGACGTTAACTGTTAGCCAACTGAAATCCAAATCGAAATTATTGACCTACAGCAGCATACTACACTGAAAAGTCCAAATCGAAATTATTGACCTACAGCAGCATACTACACTGAAAAGTAAATATAAGTAACTTACTACACCTGCAAGTGATCTAAATTATATTGCATTTTGGAAATTTGTATCAAAAAGCAATTTTCGAAATTTACACGATTTGGTTGTCAGATATTATTGTAGGTTTGGATCAACATATCAGAGAAAAAAAATTTTATATGAACATAATAAAATCAAAATATTGTTCAAGATTAACTGATATGCACCTAAAACAACTAATTTTGTCAGCATCTTCAAGAATTAACCCTAATCGAGACGACTTAATAAAAGAAGTTACATATTCAAAAACCACATTAATTAAATACTGACTGTTTAATAGTTATTTAGAATTAAATATTCCAAATTATTCATGTTTTATGCATAACCTAACTGATTGAAAGTTTTAAAATGTTTATTAACAATAAAACCCTAGTTTGTACATATGTTTTATTTATTATATTATTTTTTAAATGTCCACTTATCAGACTTGCATAAAACAATGTGCTATTTGAATAAAAATCCCATAATCAGTCCATAAATAATTTTTTTTCACATGTTGGAAAAGCTGAAAGTGGCATGCATACTTTTTTTTTTTTCGGACAGTGACACTCTTCAGAAAAAGTTTGGCCACCCCTGATTTAGGTAATGTACAGATTAACTAGGGTGATCCATTTAAGTTACAAAAATTGTTTTATTTCTCAAATTACCTCGGTAATATGCAAATTACCTAGATAATCTGCCCATTACATATATAGATCAATCATCAATCAAAAAACTATAATATAAAGAATCAACCGGTTTAAATTAGTATTGCAATTAACAAAATTAACTTGATGTTATTTATTTATTTTTTGATATCTAAAGAATTAAGTTAATATAGTCAATCACTCAACAAATTAGTTGATACAATTAATCATCAACCAATTAAAAAAACTATAATACAAAGATCTAAATGGTTTAAAATACTATTACAATTAAGGAAATTAATTTGCAAAACATATGATAAAATTATGCTTATTTAAGTGCAATCTAATGACTGGTGACGCTTAGAACCACATAGTAATTAGTTTTTGTGACAAGCACATCTATCAATGATATATTTAGATTTGCAGTCACATTTTCTGAAACCCTGACCAACAGCAAGGGATCGTTTTGTTGCTGTTGGACATAAAGATATTTCTACAGCACAGATACCTTCTTTCATTAAAAATCTCTTTTCGCAAACACTAAATTCAGATTTTGCATACGAGTTTTTAAAATACCCCCTTTTAGTACCAAGTTTATAAAAGCCATCCTCTGTTTTACTAGGAACTGCAGTTAACATTGAATGGACATCAGTTTTTGCTCTGTCTACTTTGGGTACCTTAATTCTCACAGTGACACTTTCATTGACATTTGGGTACTTTGTATTAGAAACGGCTAATATTTTTTACTTGCTTTTCTAAACCTTTCTTGGACTTATCACACTGTATTTTCTGATCCATTTTCTTTTTATAGATGTTACTCAATACATTCTTACCCAAACTTCCTCTCAAGGATGTATTTCACCACAAATTATGGGAACAAAATATCATACGATTTACATTTGTGAGCACATGATGCTGCTTTTGAGCAAACAATAAAGGCTGTGTCTTGTTTAATCCTCTTTAAAGGCTCTGTACGAAACTGTGATGGTGATTCTGCTGAAGTTGAGTATAACTCAGTGATGACTTCAATATGCAGAGGTGATTCCTTAGAGGTGCCCAGTAACTGAATATTCTTTATTATTGTATCCTCAGTCAATGGTGTTGAAGGCAGTTTATGATTACTATCAATAAATTCTTGTATTTCTATAGGTGGTTCTGTTGAAGCAAGGGATAATTGAATATCCTCTTGAGTAAGATTTGACTGTAATCCCATAATCACAATCTCTTGCGAGTCTTATAATTTTTCAAAGTCTTCTTCAGTATTTATCAAATGTAATCCACTTTATGGTATAATAGAAGAAAAATCCCACATTTTCAGCACAACCAACATGGCTTCTTTTAACTGTATGAATTGTACAAATTCTATGCCCACAGTCCACTTGTTAGTTTGGTTATCAGTCTTCCCCGTAGTGAGCATTTGATTTCTGGCTACAACTGTGTTACATATTCTTCTAAGATTCTATTATAAAATTTGCATCCGTTATCAGAACACAAAATACCTGGAGTGGCAAAAAAGGAGAAAAATATCAAGCAAGTTACAGGCTACTTCATCTGCTTGTTTTGATGCAAGCGGCTTCAAAACAAAAAATTTTATTAAGTGGTCTTAGTATACAAGAAACTTAAACTTTCTATTTGGTTGAGATTTGTAACCGATGAGATCTACTAGGCACCTGCTCAGTTGCTGAAAGAATATTTAAAAGATTTAATTGACTAATGAAAGGCAATCGTTACTTAGTTTTTTCGTGTCATGGACACTCGCTCTTAAGCTCTGAGCTTGCCAGCGCTGCTTATGTAAATCCAAACGCGGCTCCGCCAGATGGCAGTCTTAGCTATGATGAATAACTCTCAAGTCTCTGAACCTCTCACAATTAATACCTGCACTGAGATGGATACCTCTCCAAAGCTCACCAAAGATGAACTTGTTCATAATTCTCTTCAAATCTACATTCTCAAAAATCGATACACCGAAGCTTAACTGGAACTTATCTGATTAGAAAGACAGAACCAGGAAAATCCTGACAAGGACCGGATGCTAGCTCAGCTTCGCAATGAGGGGGTAAGAAAATATTACTTTCCTTAAATCTGCTCAGTACGAGATTAGGAGTTAAAGCTTTTCCCTTTTCTGCTACTGAAGCAGAATTTATGACCAAAATGTCTAAATGTACTGATGGGGGAAAAAAAAAAAAAAAAGGCTGAAAAATAAAATAACAATATCCCTACTCCTTTACCTAGAACAGCTAATAATACTAGCAGCAAAACCGAAACTAAAAGACACCTCAGATCAGTTGATTCTGAAGGATTCATGTTACCCCTCAAACACTTAGTTACTAAGAAAGCACCAACTTCTCAAACACCTAGTCAAAATGTATCTTCAAATTCTTCAAATCAATTCCAGAACTTAGAAAATAGCCCTGAACCTAATGAGAAATCTATTCTGCAGCTGCCCAATAATCAGCAGTCTAAAATTCAGCTACCGCCCCCAGTTTTCATTAAGCCTCATTTCGACTGGTTCTTTTTGCTTGAAAATTTAAGAGGTCAAGCTCTCAGCATCCAATCGAGGCAAGGCATTAAATTTCTTAAACTCGCAACTAATTCTGAAAATTACTACCATACTTTAGTATGATTTTTACTTGTAAATCAAATAGTTTAAATCACATACTCTAAATTAAGAAACACCCCTTAAAGTAGTTATATGAGGGCTTCTCTCAAACACACCCATCAATGTCGTCCAGGCTGCGGCCTATGTACTCGTGTTTAAAATTGACAAGATCTTCCAACTGAAAAGATGGAAGATGAAAATGCCAATGCCACTCTTCTACCTCCAGATCCATAACAGTTTCAAAGCTGATGAGATTTACCATGTCACCGAACTCAAGATCGAGCGTTTCCATGGAAAGAAAGGCCCCTCGCAGTGTTGGCACTGCCAGGGGTTCTTTCACAGTTCGAAAGTTTGCCACCTGCCTTCAACGATGTGTTTGCTGTGCTGGTCCCCACCAAGCCCATGATTGCCCAAAACCATTTGAAGAACTTACAAAGTGTGCGAACTGCTCTGGAGAACCATGCTGCCAACTGCAGTTCCTGTCCAAAATTTCAGAATCTAAGAACTCTGCAATTAAACCCAATACTCGACAAGGCCCGTCTGTTGGTCCCTTCCACAAAAATAACTCACAAAAAAATAATACTTCTCGTCCGGTGGTACCCATATATAATGATAGTAAAGTTAGATTCGGAGTTTCGTACTCATAGTGTTTTAACAGGTATGCAACAGGCTGCACCCCTCCAGTTTCTAAATTTTTCACTCCCTCAAAAAGCCTATGCCACCCAAAATTGCACAGAAATCCTTTTGGCAATTATTCAAATTTCAAATTAGTCTTACATTGACCACAGCAAGTTACTTTTAGTATTGAAAAATGCTCTGCCTCAGCTGCGAGTGCCTTCCTCTAGTGCTCATGCAGCCTACTATATTTTTTAGAGTTATGTAGCTCTCCAATTTTTTGATTCCTCCATTCACTAAAATTCAATATTTTGAAAGATTTGAATTTTTTTAAA